GCCTACTCCTAAATCTCAGGGTCTACATCCTTTCCGGCTACTGATATCAAGAGGCTACTTTTTCCCCTTTATTACATTTCAAGGAAAAGTGACCTGGAAAAAAATGATTCTTTTTAAGCAGTTTTTAAAACACCTTTTAAAACAGCGCCCCCTTCCCTGCCCCGCATTGTTTGTCACCAACTCCATACCTTGAGACTTTTTTTGGTAAAGTACTGTGAATAAACCACATTTGAGTACACCTTCCCTTAGGGCTTAAATGTTGATTGAAAGGTGCTCTTTTATTGATGGTGGTTCACTGCAGTGCTGATGGTACGGGTGCCAGCCAGGAATGGAGTTCCTAGTACTAGAGACTACTGTGCTTTTAATGCCCTGCCTGGCTTGTAGTCCACCATTTACTATTCAATGCAAAAGTCATTCACAGCATACCAAGTTTTCATTCCATTGCTCTTATATTTTATGGCTTCCAGGGGCTCTCTGAAAAGGAAGTAAGTGTAGCAGTAACAATGCTTTGGAGAAAACTGTGTGCCTGGCAACCTGTTTTAAAACATGCTTGTTCCACACAGAATGGATTTTGATCTAAAGTATTGTGGGAACTTATGTAGGCTGGGAATCCTCAGTATGCCGTCAAAAAAAAGGTTTTTTTTAAATTCCAACCACCTCTTTCTATTAATGGAGAAGAAATGGTTTAACGGCTGCCGCTGGGGTAGCATAAAAGGTGGGATATATGAGGCATCATATATCTTGTCCTGGTGCCTTGGAATATATGTTTTCTTACATTGGGAATTTATTAGGAGCCAGGAATCTTTGACAAATGATTATGACAAGCCTTTTATTTGTCAAAGAACCACACATAGACTGTTGCAGTCAAGTCTGGTAAGTCAAGCCAGTGTTGTTAGGATAGAGATGCCCATGAGTCGTTGCTGGTGATTTTCATTTTGTCTTGTAAAAAATAACATAGGGGCACCTGGCCGGCTCAGTCGGTAGATCATGTGACTCTTGACCTCAGGGTTGTGGGTTCAGGCCTCACCTTGGGCTTGGAGCCTACTTAAAAAGAATATAGTAAAAAACTTTTTTGAAAAAAAGAGTGCTTCCGTTATTTGGGGGCATATGCATGCACGAGAGACATTTGCCATGATTTTCATTAACTGTAGATAGCCAGGTCTTAACATTTTTTTTTTTTTAGGGAGTGACAAGGAGATGATCATATTTTTTTAAATCATTATTCATTTGTTTTAAAATAAGTGCTATCCAATACAACTTTCTGCAATGCAATGATGGAAATGATGGAAATGTTCTATAATCTGCACTGCCCAATATGACAGCCACCAGTCACACATGACTTTTTGTTAGGTAGTTAGTTAAGCGAGAGGGAGGAGGCATAAAGCAGATGCTGGCCACACCCTCAGAGCCATCCCCCAGGGTTAACGGCCACACTTTCAGAGCCACCTCTGAGAGCTAAGGGAACAGGAAAGGCCTAGCCCCACAGCTGGCTCAAAAGCCACAAGGCGACTTCCACGAGCTGAGCATGTGCGCACAAGGTGCAGCTTGCCCTTAAGGTCACAGCAAAAGCTCATTAGAAACTCATAAATATATAATACACAAATAAATACAATTATAACAGGTGCATCATGGGTAGGCACTTACGCAGAAGCCAAAATGCACTATAACCACCAGCTGTCAATCAAAGCCAAATTTGCATATGCAGAAAACAGGTTTAAAAGGGTGCAGCTAGAGCTTCTTGGGGCCATTACCACTTTTGCTCCAGCAGTGGCCCCCTTTCTTTCTTGAAAGTGTACTATACTTATCTAGTTAATAAACTCTATCTCCCCATTCTGGTCTCAGGTCTCCAATTCTTTGGTGCATCTGGGATAAGAACCAAGTGACCCGGTAACATAGTGAACACTTGAAGTGAGTGAGGAATGGAATTTTCAGTTCAATTTGATTTTAATTGATTGAAATTTAGATAGTTTCTGTGGCTTGTGGCTTCTATATTGGTCAGTACAGGTTTAAAATTTCCCCTCCACAAGTGGCGCCTGGGTGGCTCAGGCCGTTAAACCTCCAACTCTTGATTTTATCTCAGGTAATGATCTCAGGATTCATGAGTTAGAGCCCCCAGTTAGGCTCTGTGTTGGCAGCACTGAGGAGCCTACTGGGGATTCTCTCTCTCTCTCTCTCTCTCTCTCTCTCTCTTTCTCGTCCCTTCCCCTGCTTGCTTGTGCGTGCTCACTCTCTCTCAAAATAAATAAACTTAAAAAAAAAAACTTCCCCTCATCAAATATATCAAGATACACACAAATGAGTCCATATTCTGTGACATTTCATAGAATTTAACATGTAAGACCTGAATGTCTAATAATTTTCCCTCCTGAGAAACATGTGCGTGGGTACAGAGAAGATTATTTAAAAAGATGTTTTATTGGCACATAGCTGCGCACACTTTTTTTTTTTTTAACTGTTGTCTGTGGCTGTTTTCCTGCTACAGTGGGAGTGCCTAGAAAGCCTTAAGATAGAGCTGTGATGTCTTGAATTAAGTGCAAATGTACCCAAATAAGTATATCTTATGACTTCTTTAAGTTTGTTCTGTGTGAAAGCAAAAAGAACCCCTAAGTCATATACGGCACAGAGTAGCACCCGCATTTTATGGAATGTGCGGGAGCCGTTGCTATTCTGTGCGTGGTGATGATCTACGTTTTATTTCTAGCACTTGCTTTTTGCTGGCACGTGAATGCCCTAAAATCAGCACGTTTCACAGCAATGCCTATTTTGATGATTCTGTTCTTGAGGGCCATGGCTTATTTCATCGTCCTGCTTCTGGCCAGCGACACATGTGAAAGAAAATGAGTGAACCCACTCATTTGCCTGGGACATGAATAAACTCAAGCTGAGTCTCGCTTTGTTAGGCTCAGCCTATGCCATTTTGATGTGTGGTCAGAGTTTGGTGTAGCCAGCCATCAGATAGAAATGAGAGCCATTAGCTTACAAACAGATCCACCCAAGTCTGCTGGCTAACGTGAGCAGGGAGTTACTCGGTACAAGAAACAATTCTGAAAATCATGCATTTGGCAGTTTTTATGACCTTATATTTCCACGACTTGTTGTATAAATATGTAAATCCCATAAACAGCAATCACTTATATTTTTATAGTCTCCAGAGCACATGTATGCATTCTCTTTTCGCCCTCATAACATTTTGGTGAGGTTGTAGGTATTGTTACTACTTTTTCCCAGACTCTCAGGAGTCAAGTGATCAGTCCAAAAGTATGTGGCTAATAAATAGTACAACCAGGGGTGTGAGGGGGGAAGATGTGGGCCCACCTTACTCTTCCCTGGGCTCAGAAGTAGGGAAGGAAGCAGGTATAAAATCTGATGCCTTCTCACTTGTGGAGTCAGAGGACATGTGACTGCTGGCACATTGTAGCACAGTTTAGACTTGAGCTTGTGGCCTGGGTTAGCATGATGGGGATTCTGGCCCCACCTTGAATGAGCTGTGTGCCAGATGAATCACTGCAACACCCTGACCTTCATTTCTTCTCCCAGAGAAAGTCGAGTGCAACTTCCAAATCCCTTTTTGTTGCACAGAACCAGGAAAGACTCTACATTTGTGTAGTGAGATTGCATAGATAAGGAAGGGGCAGTTTCTGAAAAAACGTTCTTCAGTTATTCCTGTGTTTTCTTTACTGGAAACCCTCTTGTAACAGTAGAACTGATTTTCCTGATTTAAAATCTAAGTAGGAGTTTTCTTCTATTTGGTTAAGGATATGTTCATTAAATGTTTCTCTAACATGTCTTGTATCCAATTCTTTTTTTTTTTTAAGTGTATTTATTTTCAAAGACAGAGAGAGTGAGGGAGGGACAGAGAGAGAGGGAGAGAGAATCCCAGGTAGGCTCCACGCTGTCAGCGCAGAGCCCATCTCAGGACTCCATCTCATGAAATGTGAGATCGTAACCTGAGCTGAAATTGAGAATTGGAAGCTTAAGCGACTGAGCCACCCAGGCTGCTCTCTTCTGCCAGTTCTTAATCTTTTATCTCCTGTCCATACTCTAGCCCCGCCCCTGCAGCCTTTCTAGTATTTTGTTCAAAAGTCATGGAGGAGAGTGGGCTTGTCTTTCACATTTTTGTTTATGTATTTATTGATACTTGCTCAATATATTTAGAGTAAATCTTTGTTTCCTAACCTGTCAGCATAGGGTTTCTTCAGTTGTTCCTTTTCCTCCTTAAACAAACAAACAAACAAAAAGTGGATTTTCACCTGTTATGGAATTGAGATTTCTATTGCTATACGTCAGCAAAAAAAGTTGGTCAAGGTCAGGATTGGGTCACACATAAAATACTTCCTGGCAACGTCATCTCCATAGATCAGTAGAACTCTTGTGGAGTTGGTCTACTTGCTGACTTATTTGGAACCGAACGAGAGGAACCCCACCCTGAGCTCATGGCTCAAAACAGAACTACAATTTCAGGGCTATCTCCTAGAGAAGGTGCACTTCTGAGGGAACCCAACATGGCAACATCTATGTCAGTAATTGGTCCTGTTTTGAATACTACATGTGACTCGAGGGAGTAGGAACATGCCATAAAGTTTCTAATATGAAAATAGCGTAATTGTGCAAATTATTTCTCAAATCCTTGGATGTCTGAGAATGTTGGAATGGAAAACTTTCATGCTACTGATCTTTATTAGCAGTCTTCCGAAGGTTATGAATGGTAATTTAAGTTGAAATGATTTTATCAATTTTCTGAATAAGTTACCTCCAACAAGATGAAAGCAGGTGATCAGCTCATCTGACAAAAGGAGATCACCATGTGCAGTCGAACCAACCTCTTTCTGTAGTGCCTAGAAAGTGACAGTAGAATATTTCTTAGCATTTTCTCTGAATGGGGATTAATTATGGAAAGTGTTCAGAATTGGAAATAGAATAATGGTCCAGGGCTGTTTTTTGTTTTGTTTTTTGTTTTTTTTTTTTTACACCTTGCTAAATTAGTTCCTCTTTTGATCTAGTGATAGATACAGCGATGCCAGTGATGACAGCTTTTCAGAGCCAAGAATAGCTGAGTTGGAAATAAGCTGAAACTAATTCATGACCTGGAATGATCAGGACTTCCTGAGAGGGTAAGATGGAATCCTCAAGTATTATCTGTTGGTCTTACAGATAAGCTGTTGTCCCGTGGAGAAAGTAGCATCGTAGGACTTGCCTTGTAGGATTTTGCTCTCTCAGGATGCTCTTATTTGACTAACATAGGTAGCAAACAGGAGCATCCCAGGGCATAGTTAGGATAGGCCTAACAGCCGATCATGCTTTGGGGAAACTGGGATGCACCAGAGAAAGCTCTGGTGAAAATGGTTAGCAGGGAGAAAATGGAATGCACCTGGGGCCAGGAACAAATATGTAAGTGCACTTACAAATGTGTGTCTGGGGGCGATAGTGGTTAGAGTAGTAATAAGTCAGCAAACTTGTTCTGTAAAAGGCCAGATAGTAAATATTTTAGGATTTGTGGGCCGTGCAGTCTCTGTTGCAACTATTCCACGCTGCCATTCTAGAGGGAGAGCAAGCCTAGACAATACATAAATGAAGGGGTGTGGCTTTCCCAATAAAACTTTATTTATAAAAACAGTTTGCTGATCCCTCGTTTAGGTCCTTCAGGGAAAAGCAGATTTCCTTGGATTTGTATAAAATAAAATTGTATTTTATTTCTTTGTAGGAAGATGCCAGAGACCGGGTTGGCTTCTGAGGACAGCTTATTTTCTCCATGGCTCTTTTAGGCTTTATTAGGGAGGATCGCAGTCTGGATAGCTTTATTAAACTCAGGCTCAGAGGCAGATATTGCCTGGGACAAGTCTAGTGTTATGGCAGGCCTTGAAGTGAATGAGCAGCTTCCCTTAGCAGGACAGAAGCTTCTGAAAAGATTATAAAGAGTTAATTGCTCTAGTATGAGCTCTCTTCATATTTCACTTTGGGGTGGAATATTCATGTTCACTAGGGAAAGCATATCTCTCTCTGTTTAGGTTTACCTCAAACATGGAGACCTTTAGTAGCGAACCAAAATGGTACAAAGGCTAGTTGGAGGTATTTTAAGACTTACATTATTCAGTTTCTGATGTTGCTAATACTTATATTGTTTCTTTCTTTCTTTCTTTCTTTCTTTCTTTCTTTCTTTCTTTCTTTCTTTCTTTCTTTCTTTTTTTAGGCTCTGATGTAATTGAAGCCAGGATGAATGAACTCTCTGAGGAAATCACCATACTCTTAAAGATTTGCTCTGTTTTCCACCAAACATGGATGTAAAGCCTCAAAGGGGATCTAATTATAGATGAACCAGAACCAAAGGGCTAGTTTCCGTTTCACTCCAGAGGCAGCCTTTGGTTCTCACAAATTTCTGTAGCCAATTAAACTTTTCCCAATGACCTCATGGGGGAGAAAGTGTGTTTGTGTTTTGTCTGGCAAGTGGTGCTGTTCTGGCAGGGAGCAAGGATCCAGGTAACCCGGCCTTCACTGTGATGTAGGAGAAGGCTGACAGGGCACATGCGATAGTGATTTCGAGTAAAAATGGAGTCATTCTGTGAGCTGGAACTCAACCACAAGTTTGGGTGCGGCCCAAGTTTCTTTCAGTTTGTCACCCTGCTTATTTTTAGTTACAAATAAAATTAAACAAGTCCAAGACTAGGCATGGCAAGTAAGGCAGGCGGGCAGAATTTAAGGGGGAATAAAAAATATATATGTATAGATTAATTGAGCTGAAATTCACATAACCTAGAATTTACCAATTTAAAGTGAACAGTTGAAGGGTATCAAGTATGCTCCTGTTCGATGTCCTTGAGAGGACAGCTGTTGCGCACTGGAGCTTTCTGATACTGATTTAAATATTTTAACTGCTCAGTTAACTTTCCTTGTGTGTGGTTGTCTTTGGCCCTTTAACTTTTTCCTCTTCGTGCTGTGAGGTGTTACAGCGTTATTTTGTAAGACACTACAGAAAATTCATCCTGCAAACACAGGCAGAAGTGAAAGGAGTAATTCTGGTAAATAAAAATATTAAAGAGCTTTAGGGCTCCACTTGTGAAAATTACAGCTTGAAGATCACAAGAGGCTCCAAATGAAAAGCCCACAAGGTAGGTTGAAAGCCGGAATGGGCCTCATAGAAAGCGGGACTTAAGCATGGGGCGGGGCAGACTTTAACATCACAAAGGGGCGGGTAGTCTGGCTGAAATGGAAGTTTTCAATTGTGATGATTATGATTTCTAAAGTCACTTATTACTGAGTGCTCTCACTGGGGGTTAATGATGCATGTAAATAGGACCGGAAGTAGGGCGCTTAAAAACCGTAAACTAGTCTTTCTGTCGTTGCTCCGTGAGGTTTTTCTCTTTTGGAGACACTCCTTGAACCTGGAATCCGTTGAAGGCTTGGTGGTAGGTAGTAGTAGCAGAGCAGTTGTGGGACCTGAACACATAGGAAGTTATTATAAATCGTTCATTTAAGAAATCTGTCTTGAACCCCCAGCATGAGCCACACATGGTGTCAGGTGCTGGGAGACATGAAGGCAAGCAGAATTTGCCCCTGTAGGGGCCCAGGGCAGGCTGCCCCAAGATGGGCCACTTTGGCATAAAGATTATTTCTAGTGGAAAGTAATCCAAACCCAGCAGATGTGGGAAAAGCTCTCTGCTTCCCCTCAACTTCCAAAATTCACATTGGAGAGAAGAGCGCTGTTAACAGAGACCCCCTTTTACCTAAAAACCTTATCTGCATAATAGGGCAACCTTGTTTTTCAAAACATCTCCTTTTCCTTCCCGCTAATGGTCTTTCTCCCCTTTGTGTCCTAAGGCCCCTCCTCCTTTCCTTAGCTAAACTGCAAGTTGCCTCCTTATCTTTGGCATTTCCATGTCTGTGTGGATTCTCCTTACGTATGCTATTAAATTTGATTTATTCCTGTCAATCTGTCTCATGTCAGTTCGATTCTTAGTCTGGCTAGAAGGACCTTGAAGGGCACAGGAAGGTCTTCCTCCCCAACACCCCCAAAATATGTCTCATTGGTATAAGGATTATTTTAGGCTGATTTTAAAGAAACAGCAGACATAGGAAAAGCTCTGAAAACTGAGTAATAGTTATCTTTTGTGTACTGGAGGTATACAATGTTAGTAAACTGTTTGTTTTTCTCCTATTAATCTGTCTTTTATTACAGGGGCTGTCTTCCAAACCAGGCCTTGATGGAAATATAACTTGAACTGGGTGAATTGCTTTTTGCCACCCAGCTTTAGTTTTTAAGGTTCATGTCCACGAAGACCTCTAAAACATGGTGGCAAATCTATGGATGCCATTCCGTTTTCTCTCTTCCGAATGGGGCTCCCTTTCCATCCTGGTAGCTTCCTTGGTACTACCTTCTCCTCTGAGAAGAATACTGGTGACAAGTTGGGGAATCCAGGTGGCACTGTGTGGTGATGTAGTGCCTTATTGTCAAATTTGAAACTTCTTATCTTTTCCTTGAACAAGAAATTGTCTTGAAAATAGGTGTATTGCTTTGATTCGTTTTCCCTGGGAGGGACTATGCTTTCAGTTAATACTCTGGGAGCATTCGATATTGAGAGTAAGATAAAAACCTAGAACATGGGAGCACCTGGGTGGCTCAGTCGGTTAAGCATCTGACTCTTGGTCCCAGCTCAGGTCACGAACTCGCAGTTTGTGAGTTTAAGTCACACTTTGGGCTCCGCACTGACAGCGCGGAGCCTGCTTGGATTTCTCTCGCTCCCTGTCTCTGCCACTCCTCTGCTCACTCTCTCTGTCTTTCTCTCTCAAAATAAGTAAATAAACTCAAAAATTTTTTTTAAATTAAAAAAAAAAGAGTGAAGAAGGAAAAAGCATGATTGCACTTTCTTTGTTGTTCAAAGGAAGCACTATCTAAAGCAGGGGGTGGCAAACTATAGGTGTAGGCTAAATCCCAATCTATTTTTGTCAATAAAGTTTTATTGGCACATAGCTGCACACACTTTTTTTTTTTAACTGTTGTCTGTGGCTGTTTTCCTGCTACAGTGACAGAGCTGAGTAGTTGTTGGAGACCCGTAAAGCCTAAAACATTTACTATCTGGTGCTTCACAGAACCAATTTGTTGACTGTTATCTAAAAGGAGTGCTGCGAGAAAACTTCTTTACAAGTCTCTGATGGAGTCGCAGCTTTCAAAATCTTTTTTCTGTATAGTGAAGATACGTTCTTTCAAACATTTTAAAAGAATTCCTGACATGAAGTTCCACGTTGAAAGACTACAGAAAAATCTCTCTTAAGCTTCCGTCTTCAGCCACCTTGTTCCCTTCCCTAGAGGCTATTGTATCAAATGGTTCTGGGTCCTTCCTGCTACATACCATGCAGAGAGGATTGTTTCACCATAATGTTTAAGCAGCATTCTTATTTCAGAGGAAACTATATTTCTCTATTTAGTGGAAAAAGAATAATTATGAAATACCAAGAAACGTACAAGGGAAAGGTCAGTACTCGGTTCAGCTTGTGACAGGTATTGTGCACACACTGTGGGCCCAGCCCTGAACTGATGCAGCAGACAATATGGAAGACCTATAAGATGTGGTCCAGCTGGGCAAGGGCCTAATACAGTGCTTGAACAGAATCCTGAAGGGAGAGTAGGAGTTGACCAGGTGCATCTTTGTTATCAACATTAGCGGGACCAATCATTGGCTACCCCAAACATTTCCTAAGGATGCTCCTGAGACACAGTGTGAGCCCACTTCCTCAAATAACACTGCTCAGATTTGGAGCATCCTGAAAATTGTGGGTCATTGTGAGGCCACTAACAGGGCAGAGATGCTTTGGTGGTGAGAAACCCAGCTTCCCACCCCAGGTTTTAGAAGAACTCCACGACCTTTTTTCTCTTCCCTTCTCTACTCCAGCTGCCTATAGACCAGCGCTATGCCAAAAATAAAACATGAAAAAATAAAATAAAATAAAATGTGAGCCACATGTATTATTTGAAATTTCCTAGCAGCCATATTCAAAAGTAGAAGCAAGTGAAATTAATTTTAGTTGCATAATATTATATAAACTTTAGTAGTATATTATATTATACTACTAAATATATTAATTACACAGCACAGCTCAAGATTCTATATAAAGAGGTTGTACAGATCTTCCACTCGCTCATGGCAGAATCCCTGGGTATATGCCACAGAGCACAAGTATATATATTAATATCTCAATGCATCTCATGTTGGGTTATGCATATTTTTGTTTGGGGTGCAAAGGGGTTCAGGAAGGCTCCCCCAGAATGTGCCACTTTGGCCCGTGGATTATTTTGAACTGAAGTCACTTGAGACCCTACAGACTCCAGAGGAACTTTTGTCCCTCCCTTAACTACACAGAATAATCTAAATTGGGGGGGAGGTCTTTCCCAGAATAAGGGTTATTAACAGAGATAAGTTTTATCTGAGTGACCCAGGTGTCTGGCAGGGCAAACATCTAATTAGCAAACATCTGCTCTTATTGCCCTGTGAAGTGCATTCCTTTCCTCTGAAGTCTCAGAACCCTACCCCTTCTCCTTAGTTCAGGGTCACATACAGACCTCATTTTGTCTGACCGTCTTTAGCAATTTCCATGTCTATGTGGGCTCCCTGAATGTATGTCTATTAAGTTTGGTTTTCTCCTGTTAATTTGACTTATGTCAATTTGATTCTTAGTCCAGCCAGAAGGACCTTTGAGGGGACAGGAATTCCTGCTCCCCAACAAGGTGAAACCAGTATAGTGCAGTCATGTGTGAGACTCACTATAGGATTTGCTATTCTGCCTTCTTGCTGTGTTTTTTGTTGTTGTTGTTGTTGTTTGTTTGTTTTGGGGTTTTTTTGGTGGCTTCCCAGGTGCTCTAGCCCCCCTACCTTTGCCTCCGGATTTTGAGAAAGTGCTTCCTTCTCTCTTCCTTAGAATTCTCCAGATGCCATATAGAGTTCTTTTTCTTTTCTTTTTTCTTTAAAATAAGGTAGCTAACAGTGCTGCAATATTGGATTTCAGGAGTGGAATTCAGTGACTTATCACTTACATACAACACCCAGTGCTCATCGCAAGTGCCCTCCTTAGTACCTGTCACCCATCTAGTCCATCCTCCACCTGTCTCCCTTCATCTATTCTCAGTTTGCTCTTTATCATTTAGAGTCTCTTGTGGTTCAAGGGCTCAGTTGGTTAAGCATCTGACTCTTGGTTTGGCTCAGGTCACGATCTCACAGTTTGAGAGTTTGAGCCCCACATGGGG